GGTCTATCTGACGGAATGACTTTCTTTCTTTCTTTCAGAAAAAAGATTTCTGATAGAAAGTGGGAAGGCGTTATTCCACCAGGTGTTTTTTTTTTTCTTTCTTCTATCTTATTTATATAAGATTGTGATGAGGAGAGAAGGAGACAGAAGAACCGGCAGATAGAATGAGAAAGGGAGCGAGAAAGGTGAGAGAGAGAGAGAGAGAGAGAGAGAGAGGGGGGGTGGGTTCCACACGCTATAAATACAGAGGCATGTTTTACTCTCACGGAGCACGCTCACATTTTTTGCTGACAGAGATTACACTTTCCAGGTCCGATAAATGCAACCAAAATTCAGAAAACAATTGAACTCAATTTTTAGGAGATTTCACCAAAACAAATTCTGACAAAATAATGACAGCGCACTGCTCATTGGCCCAAAATTTAGACTGCATGCGCACGCAGCCAACACGTTATCTTAGCCGCGCATGCGTAATTTGAATCAAGAAAGAGCAAATACGAATTATTCCGGGGAAGAAAAAAGAGATATAAGAAAATGATAACGTATTCCCTACGCTCTCTACTACCTTCATTTCTCTTTATTTATCACTTTTTTGTTCGCATTTTCTTAAAGGTAAAGACCAGTTATGGTCATGGGATTGCATTGTGAAAGAAACGTTGTGGAATCGATCAGAAAAGGTTGATCATCTAGCATCTAGCATCTGCAAGGTTCTGGAATCATCAAAATGATAAGAAATTTGGCCCATTCTTCGTAAAGTTACAAGCACTATACACAGAAAGATGTATATGGGACTACCCTATATCTCTCACAGACCATGAGAGAAACAAATTTACCAAATATATGAATTAGTAGGCGGTTTCCCGGCAAATTTGTTATCATCATGTATTAGTCAAAACATATTCTTTCACATGATTGGTAATGAGAGCTTCCATTTCATTTTTTGAGAGGGGGCGTTTCCAATTCTGGTCTTTACCTTTAATATAACTTCTTAAATACAAAATAGGGGGTGGTATGACCCTCATATTGGCCTTCCTATGTAGGCGACGCCACCCCCCCCCCCCCCCCACACACACACACACGAACACTTACGCACTCGTTGCCATACATTAGCCTTTTTAAACACACTCATTTCCATAATCGTTTTTCTTAATGACTTTCAACATCATAGAGTATTCCCAATAAAGACCTAAATATGAAACTTAGTTGTAATCACATGCTTTAACCTTTCTCCGATGGTGAATTACTTCAAAATCTACCATAATTATTGGCCATTTTGAAGATGGATCATAAATGGAGTCTTTAAATAGAAACTTAGAGCGAGTTGTTTGAGGAAATGTAAGAACATGCGAGTTGGTGGGCAATTTTCTGGGCTTTTATGCAAGGATTCGCTGACAAGCGAAGATTAAATGACCTCTATCATGTCTATCAGCAAAGCGTCGAGGGCTCAAAGAGATTTGCTTTCGATGACTTCAAAGATAATCTCTTCCACTATCCGACTTTCTTCGTCTGTACCTTCCTCCCACTCTCCTTTAATCTGTATCTTTCCCCTTCTCTCCCCCTCCCCCCCCCCCCCCCCCCCCCACTCTCCTTCGGTCCGATCTGTCTCTCACCTAAACTTCTTTTTTTCTCTCTCCTTTTCCCTCTTTCTTTCTCTTTCTTTTTCTCTCCATGTGTAAGTATTTTTCATGTTTGTGCCACCTTTTTTATCAAGCAAATATGTTAGTAATATTTTACAATCTTCTACTCACTCTCTCTCTCTTTCTCTCTCTCGCTCTGTTCGAATTTCTAAAACTTCATCAAGGCAAGCTGATTACATAATAATTTTGAGTGACCACTGCAAAAGATTTTTGATCAGACTTTTAATTAACAATTAACCACATAAATGTTATGCAAAAAATACACCTGAACAACATTTTGATTGCAACCAAACACACACACACTGAACAGTATCAAACAGTTACGTTCAACTTATATACATGTATCCTCAGTCACACAGCCAAACCAACTCCACATCGACTCCAAACCGACCGCTGTTCGGCCGTTCCTCAAATTAATGTAAATTATGGATTGTCGGTCTGGCGTTGGTCTCGATGATGTGACTCTGGTATTACCAATTCATTTTTCGTTCAAGACATTAAACGTTTAAGAAAATGCATCCATTAATGAAAACCTGGCAATGCAACAACTTCTAATAATGACAATTCTTGTTCGTCCTTGCCGTAAAGGGCGCCGTTTCACACACACAGTCGGTGATTCCCGGTACAGTGAGTACATGGAACCATTTCGTTTGAAAATACTATGGAGACATTTTGCCACAGCGAGAATTGCAGAGCTTACGTAAGAACTGTGATACCAAAGGGTGCACTTTAAAACAAAATTCAATTTTGTTCATGTCAAAAAGACAGTGTACACTTTGCTCAAAGTCTGTGACGCAATGTATATTTTTTGGGTCACAGAAAGAATTGAAGAGTGTAAACACTGCTGCGGAACCATGCAACTGGTTTTTAATATTTTCATAATATTGACCATGAGATCCCATTGCATTTTACACGCTGTAAACATTCGTTCATGGTTGGGGTGAAAAGACTCAAATTTCCCCTAAAATGCAGTGTTTACATATAATGCGTCTTTAGTACAAAAGAATACATAGTTTGTAAACTGCATCGCATCTTCATCATATGTATGCCCCCTTGTTATACATGAGATGCATTATAATCTGCAGCATTACATTTCAATTTACTTGACCATTCACATCATATAAATCGAAAAATATGAATGAATGAAACTGAATAAGATCATGATTAAAAGTTGAAATGAGAATTGTTAAGACAGAACAAGGACGCTTTCCTTTAATTTCCCTTTTTGAGATAATAGACCAAAGATAGTGTTTGATATCCTCTTTAGATAATAGATAAAATGTAAGGTTAATACATTACAATGTACACATGCAATTTTGTCGATTTACAGTCTAAGTTTATTTCTCAATAAACGTCTTGCAATCTGACTTGCATGTCATGAATAATCTCAAAGAGGATGAGAATCGACTCTTCTCAACATGTGTGAGCGGAATTTGCGAGGTCATAATGGCAATCGTTAACCGCAAACGTATGACCCTTTCACATCACTGCACAGCAGTCTTTAACGCAAACATGGACAAGGAATAACTGGTATCATTATAATTTCGAGATCGTATTTTGTTTCTTTTCATATGTACAATCTCTTTCCTTTCTTCTACAATAGAAAACTATAATTACTCTGACAAAAACTATAAAACGACCCTGGAATTTGTCACTTATCAGCCGACATAGAAGAGCATCAAATATAAAAACCATTAGGAAACGAAAAATAAAGTGTTTGCTTCGAATAAAAGTTGTCTTTGTATGAAATCAGCCTGACTGTGCATAGCAATCGTTAGTTTTGTAAGTGGCGTAAAAACAGTACCGGAATATAAATGTCTAATTCATTGCTATATTCACAAAAATAGGTATTTTACAATGTAAAGATTACAAAGTAAAAAAATATATCATTTAAGTTCAGCGATACAAATTTCTAGTTCTGCATTTTGAGAATTTTAAGTCATTCAGTATCCACAAATGTGTATTTTCCCCGGAGCTCATTTAAATGCAACATTGAGGTTCAGGGTTACAAATATTAAAGTTCATTGATTTGTGTAGAAGAAAAATGTATTTACATCCCTCTTTGTTTCTAAATATTTCCCCAAGCCGCTGTGCCTGAAATTAAAGAGTTCAGCATTACAAATTGTCTATTGAAGCACCATGTTTAATCATTATGAAGTAAAATCAGCCTTTTTTTTAGACCTTCATAAATAAACTGGTCAACAGTTGAATGAGGTTGTATATATCATTGGCACTTTTTCAAGAGTCTCAAACATCGTGACACATCTACAGTTAGCGTCAATTGACGGTGTTTCTACGAACAAATTTGTTTCTCATTCTTTACATTTTCTAGAATAAAATTGTACAAAGTTCTTGGCAAGAAATACAACCTCAGTCTTAAGGTTGGACATAAACACAAGAATTGTTTTCCTCTTATCTCTTATCATGGCAGTAGCGTTTAAAGATGTTGTCATGAAATTCATTTCTAATAGATTCAATTCAATTCGATTTCTCATGTTTGTTGCCGTCTTTTCGAAGCTGCGATAACAAAAATACGCCCACAAAATCAAATTTAGTTGCCCGTTTCGGTTTTAACAACAGATGGCGCTGTATGCGTTTTCTGCTGTTGTTGGTTTAGTCCAAGGAGACTTGTAGCAAAATCTCGAGCAAAATCTCGAGCAAAATCGAAGCGACATAAATCTGTATGTGGCAATTACAATCTCTGTACATCTTCCTGTATAAAATTTCACAAGATTTATTGTGCATAAAATAAAGTCTAGAACCCCAAAGACTTTGTTACAATTTAATGGTTTTGAGGACCTTTTAAGGACCAACGGATTATTTCTTCCTCAAAGCCATCACTTTTACAGCAATCCTTAGTTTCCATGCCAGCTCTTTGGTCGAAATGCCATGATAAGGGTTAAGTCTTAAATGCTATTCTATCAAACAAATTACGCGAGTTGATTACTTCACTGTGCCTTACAGTAAAATCAGCCCATTGACAGGCATGCATCATCGAAAAACAACAATACTAATGAAATTCTGCTTTTCCGATGTTACAACATCAGAAGAGTTTCATTTTCAAGCACCATAACTTTGCAGATACACTGTATCTACAAAAATAGGCCTAGTAAACGATTTCTGGCAGTTTTGTTATTTGGAACGCTGGAGGTATGATAATACTGTATCAGAACGATTTCCAATGCCCTGCTTTGGAATTCAATCATATTCTCGTACAGGCTATCTGATCTTGTACATTTTCAAAGGAAAAAAAAGCATAATAATGAAAAACCCGCCACCATTTTTAAAAACTTTTCTTTGATTTTTTTTTTGCTTTTTAATTTTTTTTTTTGTGTGTGTTTCGTAAAAATTGTTTCAGGTTTGTTTTTTTTGTGTTTGTTCTTTGTGTCGTCAGTTAAACCCCTTTATATCTGAAGGTGTACGACTAGGTGATGATCGGATGCAATAAGAAGTACATGAACGTATTTCTATTTTTGTTCGGCACTGTTATGCCTACCAGCAAGAATCCTTTCAGGGAGCTTGGGGCCTTCAGAGTTCACACTCGTTTGAGCTAAATTCCGACCAATTTCAACATCATGAGCCAAAAAAATAAAGATTAAATGAATAAAGTGATATTGGAAAGGCCGCGATTCCCGAAAGCTCAGGGAAAGAACGTACGCTGCCAATAAATGCCGAGTGACGTTCTGCAAATAGACGTATAATGTGATCGCAACTTTCCTAGCATTGGCCAATCAGAATGCAGTGATACAGCTGTTAATAATTAAATATAGATCCTGATTGGCTAACGTAAGGAGAGGGGCATTTAAGTGAAATGTGTTATGTTAATTTGTTTCTACAAACGTTATTGGTGGTTACATGCTTCTGATATTACTATTCTGAAGCTGGTCGGGAAATTTATTTGGACTTTTCCTGATACCAGGTTTGACTACTTTTACGTTATACTTCGCAATATTTTCAGTAGATGTAAGGTATAAGCCTGCATGGGACTTTTTCCATGTAGAGGTCCCATGATTTGCCGTACTTGGCATGGCAACGGTCCTCGTCCCGCCGGCAGCGGTGGATGAGCAGGATGAGCATGAAGACCAGGTAGTAGTAGGGGAAGATGTGTCCTACTCCGCAGGAGAGGCACCAGGCCGCTGCCTGCATCAGGTCACCAGTGTAGTTCATATGCCTGGTGATACCCCACCAGCCCGAGAGCAATAACTTGCTCTTCCTCTCCTCCCCGTCACCGCTCATGTAGGTGGCGTCGATGTACTTGGGCATGGCGCCCCAAATGGGGGCTTGTCCGTTTGTGCGCCGGAAGTAGTCCTTCTGCCGGTTGACCGACCGGAAGATGTAGTAGCCGACGGTTCCGAGGAGGAAGATGGCGGTGAAGATGGGCCAGGAGAGATCGACGGGGTTGAACACCAGGTAGAAGCACTGTGGGTAAAAGAAAAGTTTGTAATAATAATAATAATAATGATAATACTCAGTTTTATATAGCGCTTATTAGAATCACTAAGCACTTCCAAACTTGGAGATTATTACCCCGGCTTTAGCTGTGCTGCCATTGCGGCGCTCTAGCATTTCAGAGAATTAATCCCTGCCAGGTACCCATTTACATCACCAGGGTTGAGTGTGGCAAATGTAGGTCAATGTCTTGCCAAAGGACATTAGTGCCGCGGCGGGTTTCGAACCGATGTTTATTAGAATCCCTTCATGAATAACCAGTCGACCGCCATTCTTTAATAATCTCAATCATCAACACAAGAATATTAAAAAACTCCTGCATCACGAATGTTGTATGCACGTACAATCGTCTTTTTAACCATTTTATTTTTAGGAATATAGGCCATTAGACATTCATTTATGACGTATTCCGAGGATTTAGAGCTTTGTGTAGTTCACACTTTTGAGGCTCTACACAGCTCACTCCAGCTACTTGAATTAATTACAAACAAAATCCGGGACCCGGTCTTGTAAACACTTGCAATTGCTTCCAATCAATTGCAACCTGATATGTGTATGTACTACAGTGTAAAGAGTGTGTAAATTCGCGATTGACTGGAGGATTTGGTGCGATCAGATCACACCTGTTTTCAAGTTTATAAGGGACTAAACAAAAAAATATATAGATGAAGAGGCATCGCCAATAATCAAATTCGTTCACACTTGTACAAGCATTGCTTTTTAGTGGACCCCTCTGTTTCCAATATGTATTTCTACATTTTTGTTAATGTTTATAATTTATTGGTAATGTTTTGTTGGAAACATAAATCAATTGATATTGAAATTGAAGAAAAAAAAATTGAAATTGAAAATTGAAATTGAAAAATACACAATTGCTTGATGCCCACCTGAAGCGTATACATGAATGGCAGGTAGACCATATCACCCCAGGCAAGGTACCATCCAAAGTGATCATGGTGCATGTCGATGGTGTGAAGGTACCATGCCTCGTTCCAGAAGTAATCCACCACATAGATCAACTCCAGGAAGTTGACTAGGATCATGGAGTTGGTGATGTAGCCGTAGAGCTCGTACTGCTTCATGGCCATGGAGAAGTTGATGATGGTCCAGGCTGCGATACCCGGTCGTCCATTGAAGAAAAGCTGGAAAGAGTAAATGAATCCGGTTTATATTTGTGAATACAGAGACTACGTATGTTGTCCATAAAATTCAGGAGAAGAGTAAACTACGTTTATAGAGCTTGTGCTGACAAGCTGATGATGGTCCGGTCGTCCGTTGAAGTACAGCTGGACGAGAAAGGATATTGGTCGGTAAGTTACCGATATTGTACTCGTTGTCTACGTGATTCTCAAGGAAAGTATGATATGACAATACACAATTATGATAGATATTCTACTTCTTTCCATTAACCATTTAGAAAAACCGGTCGGCCGTATATTCAGTAAACTAAAGCTGGAAGGAGGAAGCGAAAAGGGTCGGTGAATGATTTCGTCAACTAAAGAGAATGTACACCCCGGCCACAAAACTTTCATCACGCAACATGCACTGCTTGCGAAAGACAGTAACGAAGGGGGTCTTTAATCAATGATGATGTTGAGAAAGTTGATAATGGCCAACCAGCCGATACACCCCAAACTCAAATAGAAATAGTCATTAATTACATGGAAAATGGTCCAGTGACAACGCTTCTGGTGTATACAATTCATAGGGCTTCTTACCTTGAAATCGAACATCTTTCCAATGCGGGGGTTGAACTCGATTCCCATCATGTAATCATAGAAGATGTTACCCGTAAAGACACGATCAGGGGCGTGGGTCGGGAAGAAGTAAGCCTGGAAATATACACGGATTGGAACAGTTCATCAAACGACACATCGTAGGGTGTACGATAAATAGACATTTAATTATTCGACTTTTCCGCTGGTTCGATGATCGAGAACAAATGCTAGGATTTGATATGCGATGCGATGCGATCCCAGTCAGCATATGAGATGAGGGAAACTTTTAACAGAGCTATCTAAGCACAATTTATTGTTGAAATAGTTCACATTGATTATTTTGTTCACTTGCAGAGACTAGACTACGCTACACTTTTATCTATGATTTCAGTCTTTAAGTTCATGAATTAGCAAGAATTAACAAAATCATTATCTTTTAGTTACAATCATATTTGGAAGCGAGTGGATCAAAATCCCGAATGAAATATGAAAGTTTTTCTTACGCTGTTTACGCCTTGAATGCGCCAGCAACAATGATTCTAATATTTGCTCACGATCAACAAGATAGACGACTTTAAGGAGAATGCCGATATCATTCCTTGAAGGGTCGCTGATCATAACAAGCTAGTCAAGTGGCTGATCCGAATGAAATATGAAAGTTTTGATAGATATTTCATTCATATTCATTGTATACGAAATATCTTAGTGTGACCTCTTGACTCACTAATAACTAATTATGCAACTGATTTCGCTGCTCCCACGAATAGTAACTCACCTTCACGATGGCGAATGTAGCTACAAAGATGCCGATGGCGTTGGCGCACCACAGGAGCGAGCCGCGGTGATCGAACACAATGGATGGCGAGAACCATTCAAAATAGAGGGCGTTCGCCACGAAAATGGCGTTGGAGATGAACCATGCCTGCAAGCCGTTGATAAGGTAAGGATTCCGGATACCTGACGGTGTTACGGCCCCGAGTTGCATACCGCCGACGTAGCCGGGAATGATATATTGGAAGAGATCCGGCAAGTAGAAGAGCACAACCTGTACAGAGAAGGTGTCATTTTCGATGTGGTTAAGCATGGACCTATTACGAAATGGACATTCATCGTGATTCTTTCTTTGATCCAATGATAGTCGCCGCCTTCTGATTATGAGCATCTTAATGAGAACATTCAGCTGTTTTAACAATAACGACTGCTAAGAATTTTGAGGTCATTGACAAAGGAGCAGTTTCCCTCTCTTGGGTTTTGTTTGGATGGTGTGCTCTGTAAGAGTGTGTCTTAAATGAAAGCATCCCCAATGGAGAGGCAAAGTTGAAAAGCAGACGATTTTTTTGATATGAAATGTATTATTACTGATTCGCACACTTTCGCACACACCCATGACCTTATAAAACAGTTAGAAGGCCATGATCTTTATAAGCCCTGCGCTTTGTAACTCTGGAATATTATGAGGAAATAGGGGAAAACACATCTATTTTCCATGATTTAGGCGAGTTATTATCTTCTGCGCATGTAGATTAACATGTGTAAAATCACTATCTTGATTCTGTCCCGGCTTTTTGGCGGCGACCATGATGAGATGAAAGTGACGAAACATGTAGGGAATGTTATTGAGACGACATTGACGGAGACAATCACAATGAATTCATTAAGAAAACGATGAATGTCCATTCGTAATAGGTCCATGGGTTAAGAAAGCTTTACGGTAGCTTATATGGATGTAGGGTTGTAGTATAAGTAGACATGTTTTGCTATTGAGTGGACAGGCTCACTAATGTAGTAATTATTACGACACCCACACCCACCCCTCCCCCTAGTTTGCAGACACAAACCATGGTTAGTCGATGTGCCTAACAGTGTCGTCACTCTAAGACTAGGCTGGCTGCATAAGCTCTGTACTTGAAGTGTCAAATCAGAGTCTGTGAATGTAGACTCCACCCCCTCCCTTCCACCCCCACCCCCCCCCCCCCCCCCTTGGTTATCGCCTTGTACAGCTACGTACTAGCCGTAGGGTCGTTTATATGAATTTACAGTCATTTTTTTCTTTCTTATTTGCGCGCTTTAAATCCTGTAAATGCACTATCAGTCACGCATCAAGAAACGCCAATTTTGTTCATGAGCTCCAACAACTGAAGCCAGTCCTTTAGACGAACTCTTGACGAAAACAAAAAAATAACACCTTCACATGTATGTATGTGACCATTGTGGTTGCAACGAATCGAGACCAATTGGGGGTACTCATGAGGGTTGATATGAATGGAGCTTTTTTCTCCCCCCACAGAGTCGTTCACCATGTTTTAACAAAAGCCCCCCTGATCTCATTCAATTTCCTCCCTGTTCTCTTCCCCCCCCCCCCCCCTCCCCCCGTTTCTCTCTCTCTCTCTCTCTCTCTGAGGTACACATAATGACGACTGAGTGAAACGAGGCTACGTGTTTTTGAAAAGTTTGGTTGCATCAGGGATATGTGAGTTAAACTCACATATCCCTGGTTGCATACAGTGTTATTCAGACAAGGAGCGAACTTTTGATCAGATTAGATTTATCTTTTTTGCATTAACGTTTGTAATCAGTTCATTGAACTAATTACAAACGTCAATGCAAATAGGATCAATCCAATCTGAAATTTGTTTGCCATGATGAATATTTTGAGTATTATTTTGATGACGATTATTATTATATTCATTATTATTATTATCATTTTTATCATTATTATTATCATCATTATTATTATTTGTTAGTAGTAGTTGTAGTAGACGTAGTATTACTAGTATCATCATGATTATTATTATCATCATCATCATCATCATCATCATCATCATCATTATTAACATTCGAGGAATAGTTGTTTTATAGGCTCTCGGGGACGTTACATCTATATTTTATTATTGTTAATGTCTCTCTCAAATGCCACCTGCAAGACCCGCGCTAGTCAATGACGCATCCCTACGTCAGGACTGCGTTACCTCCTGAGCAACCCTGACCCACTTGCTGCTCCCTTATCTCTTTCCATGTGTTTGTTCATTCTTATTATGTACTTGTCTGTTGCCATGCTGCTTTTTATATGAATGGTCGAATAAATAATAATAATAATAATTGGCTTGAAGTTTTATGGCTACGTCAACCATACATAGGGGGTTTTGGGACATGCATGCCCCGCAGCCCCTGAAACATCCTGAAGAAATATTTCATCCGGGTTTCCCTCCTAAAACCGGAGACATACTTTTTCCGAGATGTTTCATATTTTCTAAGCCTGAAAATGGACCGAGTCCAGGTTTGACCGACTTTATCTTACGCTGTTTACGCCTTGAATGCGCCAGCAACAATGATTCTAATATTTGCTCACGATCAACAAGATAGACGACTTTAAGGAGAATGCCGATATCATTCCTTGAAGGGTCGCTGATCATAACAAGCTAGTCAAGTGGCTGATTCGAAGAGCAAACATCGATTGACAATCCGTTATATTCACATCCAGCGTGATCTGATTTCACGTGTATATTTGCCATCTCGTCTAGCCGTTAATGACACTACATGCCCATAGTTGACAGCATTTTCATTACGTGACAAGTTTAACATGTTGAATACGTTTTCTTTTTAACCGTGACTATCGTTTTTGTTTCAATAACTCTTCATCAATAATAATAAAGAAGAAAGTATGTCATATTAATGGCGATGGATAATTGAATGGATATTACGTCATACCAGTTTAGAATGGAATACATGTTAGTATACACAGCGTACAGCGAAGCAGTTATTGTGATTTAAAAATCAAGGAATCGTGAAGAAAATGGATCTTGATTTCTTTTCAACAATAATCTAAACAATATACATATGGAGAAAGTAGTTTCTTGCGTGCGAAAGAACAACCAGGAAATGGATGATGTTGGCATAGTCATAACGAGTGGTCGTGCTCCTTATTACAATGAACTCAATTTACACACATGACATTATGTCAGTTCAGTTTAGAATGTCACTACGTGTGCAATTGAGAAGGAACATTCCAATCAATTATTTTAAAGTGGTTTCAGTAATGATGCTAGCCTCGACGTGCAGCCTCCAAGATTGGACGACAAAACAATGATCCACTTTCAAGTCAGAACAATCACCAAAAGTCTGACTTTACATTTGACCCGGGACCGAACACCAACCCAAACCCCCTATTGCAACCCTAACCATATATATATATATGTTGTTACATTTTGTATTCATTTTTTTATAAATAAAGTCTGGATGAAATGCGCACGTGGCATGTGATCAATCTTTTTCTGTCAATAGTCATTATTGAACCCAACCTCGGCCACACAATATTTTTATAATGAACAAAGTTGAATGAACTTTGAGGATTCACAGTTTTAGTTTCAACCTTTGTTTTTTCGTAAACTTTGGCTTAAAATAGAACATTGATATTCATTGATGGGTATTGCCTTATATGATAAAATCTTACCTGAAAAGTCATCCAGATGGCTGTTATGGTAACGCCATCCCACGTGATGGACGGCATCTGATCCCACAGCATGGTGAGGGTGAGGGCGCCCTTCTGCATCTCCAGGGGAGGGGTGATGAGAGAGCACTGGTAGTGGGTACAGGCGACGTGGACGTAGAATACTACCAAGGGGATGAGGGTGAGGAGGGCGAGTACGCCCACCGTGGTGAACACGTCAACCTCCCTGTTGGTGGGTGAGTAAGTAAGTAAGTAGGGGTAGCGATGGTGGGGACAAGGGAGGGGTAGGGGAGGGGTAGGGGAGGGGTAGGGGAGGGGTGGTAAGAAGGGAATGGAGGTGGTACCAACTGTTAATCATACATCCAATCAAATGTTTTTTCGCCGCCGCCGCTGCCGTCACCTGAAAAGCAGCGCCTATGTCTCGCTTTTGCTATGCAGGCGAGACAAAAACGACACAGTTTTGCTCATTCGGGGTAACGTAATAATTATATAGTTTGTTCGGTCTATTGTTTGGCTGGCGTCGGTTTTGTTTTGTTGGTGTGACTAAGGTATTAGGCAAAAGGTGATGAAGCCATCTTCGATATGTCCCTGAGATTCAATCAATCGCAACCTGATAACAATTAGTACAGACCCACAATTCGATTCCATTCTGTATGTTTTTAGTTATCCTTTTGTTCTTCGTGTTCTTGTATCCATCATCCTCTTTATCCTATGTTTTGTTCTCTTCTAATTTTTTGTGTGCGCCCCTTCAAGTGCGGCCCGGGGCACCAGCCTATATCCATCAGTTTCTGGTTGTGTCAAATAGGTTTTTCTTTCTCACATTCTCATTCTTACTACATGTACAACTCTAAAGTATGAGCTCATGATATCAACGTTTAGATGCCATTAAATTCCCATTTTCATACTCTGTCTGAATAGACCAGTTCACGATTAGCATATATCCCAAATGACCCCGAGTATCAACAGATCTTCAAAACATGAATAGGTCCCCATTTGGACATTTTGAAATAATCACTCTTGCAGTAATGGAAGTGCTACATAAATAGCCTTTGCTTCCCCTTTTTAAAGAATACTACCACCTGTGTATCATAAAGTGCACTGCTTGTGCATAAATGAATAATGATTACATAACCTTCATGAGCACGTATTTTGTCTCCGTGTAAATCACAATTTGGTCTGCGATGACTTTTATCTTCTCTTGCTCAGACTGCAACTATGAACTGGCTTATTTTTACATGGCCACATTAGCATACATCTAACTGATTCCATAATTAACGAAGTAATTACCATGCACGCCCCCATTGTCCAGCCTTCCGGTCAACAGCCGATGCTCCGTTGGTAGTGGGCTTCATAGGCTCTTCCGACATGCGTTTTGAGTGAGACCGGGTGTTTGGCCGCGAGTATGAAGTCGGCTCCGTCATGGTGATACCTACAAGGGGAGAAGAACGAAAGAAACAAGACTATTATTAACAGGAATAAAAAGAAAATTAACCGAAATGTGAATTGAAAAAGCATATCTGACCTAGGGGTGTTTCATAAAGCCGTTCGTAAAGTTACGCACGACTTTACGAACGACTTATATGAAAAGCCAAATGGGATGCTCAATCATTTTTTAACTGCATCAACTAAAGTTAAACTGTGAAGATGTAGATTAACATTTTTATTATAACAAACATTTTTAATACAAAGTACATTTTCAGCACTAATTTGATTGAGGTTATTGGAAATATAGTCGCGCTTTGTTAAAACACCAGGAAAAACTTCGGGCATCCTATCTAGCACTTCATATACAAGTCGTTCGTAACGTAATGCGTAACTTTACGAACAGCTTTATGAAACACCCCCGCCCCCCCCCCCCCCCCCCGGGGGGGGTGAAATGATGTAGCCCGTTGGTCTCTCCATTCTCAGGGATATAGCAAGGAGTGTTATCTTGCTCGTTGCATTACTTTGGTCACAAAAGGAATCATTGTTACTCCAGGGGCGTTTCATGAAGCCTTAAAATTGATTTTTCTTTTTTTTAATCGAAATCAATTTTAGTCGATAAATCACCCCCAGCTCAAACAGTATCTCATTGGATAAGGACAAATGCGTGGTATACAGTATAGTCTGCAAACACAGACATTAATTTGTTACACTTTAAACACAATTTCTTAAGCCTTGAGCATAGACTAGATCTATCAGTTTGTTAGGAGCGGCTTATATACAGAGCATGTTGTAGTATTATAATGCAGACATCTATACGCATAATGACTTGCAAGGGTCTGTGTCTGCAAACTAAGTATAGAGTATACGAAAGCGAAAGCAATCGTATGTTGTTGCAGAAATCAAAATAAGTGGCAATTCAGATCATCTTTATTTCCACTTTGGAGACAATTAGCTAGGAGCGAGTGATTCCGAATGTGTGTAATCCTGTTGATTGTATACTACATTAATGAAGTTTTCTGGTACAGCAATCATTACAAAGCAAACCAAACCAAAATGACCAAATCTGAAATTTACACTGACAACAAACACATTTAGAGGCATACATTATATGGGACATGGTATTATCAAAGAGGTCTTTGGTATAAGCGAGTAGTCAACTTCGAATAAACCAACATTTCTTGTAAAATCTGCCCATACGGCTATCATCATCCTTCAATGCAATCGTTGGACATGAATTGAATATATCATCCTTGTAGTATTCAGATTTTGTGTCTTCTTTTTTTTTTCGTCATGCAGGACTATGCTGCAAGACTAATCAGGGATGCCAGTTAGAATTAATCAGGCCGCCTAAAAAAAACCTATAATGAGCTAGTTTGTACACAAAAAAAAGCCTAAACTATGGCATGAAAATAACTCGCCAGGGCCTGAATTCAGGCTATTATGTACCTGAACAGGCATCCATGTACTAATGAACATTAGCAACACTTATAACTCCCATTGCTGAGGCAGCTTAACTGGTTTTCAATGGCTTTCAAACCAACATTAATTTCACAATTCGCTGAGGGTAGAACAAATAAAAGGTGAAGGTTGCTCACTTTGGAGTAGCGGTGTAAGTGAAAAGCAAATATGACTATAGTAATGTATGCAAGCAATTCAAAGTCTGGTTCATTATTTCTCTCTCTCTCTCTCTCTCTCTCTCTCTCTCTCTCTTTCTCTCTGCCTCTCAACTTTCTGGCTCTTATGAATTTCGCCACCTCTATCTAATTAAATATCAACGCAAAACCATGTCGAAACCTTTTTCAGGTGGGCTGTAGATGTGAAATGCAAGGGGGAGGGATACACAATCATAAGCCTACATCAAGAAATCTTGCATTGATTCTTGAAACGAAACATAAGAAAACGACTCAAGCAAGAAAATCATGTAGAAGAACGGTTTCCGTCTCCATATGGCATGCCATAATTGAATTTACGAAGTCATTAATCGAGGGATCATATCTAACATTAATTAATTCCATGGATCAGGGAGGACAATGTCCTTGATAAGATTCATTCAAAATCCTCTGACGACCTAATGCAAATAGGCTAAAAGGGGGCGTTCGGGTGTAACGAACTTTCAGCACATACAAGTGTAGGTCAGTAGCTCAATTTCAATGTAAAGAATTCGAAGGTTGACTTCTGATAAAGATACAAATAAATAAGGCAACGTCCCCTCGGCTGAAAAAATTGCATCTCATACCCTCTTACTGCTCATATAGTTTTAATAAATATGACAAGAAGAAACTATAAAGTTTGGATCAAACTTTCATGTCACATGACTGCATCTCGGACTCCGTCTAGATTTTGCACCTATCTCTGAGTCGGTGCAGTGCATGCGATGTTTATTCAGCAATGGAGAGGTAAACTCTTTTTATTTTGACCATTCCCAAATTCCATGGTATACTGTAGGTGCTATATATTTAGTTTTTCAAATATTTTCTGACCACTTTCTTTCACAATATACATGTATGTAATACATGAGATTATAATCCATTTAATAAATTGTCTATAAAGATAAAGATGAGTTCTGGTCATGCGATTGCATTCAAGTGAAAGAAACGTTGTGGAATCGATAAGAAAAAGTTGATCATGTAGCACATAAGTATTGGTGTGTACTGCAAGCTTCTGAAACCATCAAAATGATAAGAAATTTGGCAAAGTCTTGGTAAAGTAACAAGCACTGTACACATAGGACTACACAAATTATGACATACAAATCGGGCCTCATTTTTAAGTTTTTACTTCTCATATTCAGAATATAAATGCATTTGAAGATCCATGCTTTCAGAGAACATTTTTTCATCTGATGTTCTTCCACACAATGATAACGCTCACAAATTATTTTTCACCTCTCCCCAGAACTCAACCTTCTCTTTAATAACTCTTGTATACCTGCTGTCACGTGCGTAGGAAAAAGAACCTGGGGCCTGTAAACCTCAATTCAGATGAAAGAACCTTTTATAAGCTTTATTTTTTATGAAAGAGAAACTTACAGTTTGTTGAATGTAGATCGAGATGAAGAGATCACACGTTCTGATCGCTGCCTTGGAACCTCATTAGATTGACCTCAGTATGACCTTACAATGATCCAATATCATTACCACACATCAACACGTTAACCCTAAACTTGAACCTATAGATTATGTTCTTCAGGCCTCTCTCTTTCTTTCTATACCTCTCTCTTCTGCCTGTCTGTCTCTCGATCCTTTACTTGCTCACTAGCCCCCCCCCCCCCCCCCCCCCCTCTCTCTCTCTCTCTCGGTTTCAGCCCTCTTTTCCCCGTTCCGTAGCTTTAGCTGCTTCTGAGCTTATTGCAGTATATTCTATTCTATCCATTGCTCAATTCTAGATATAAATCAAATATATAATATTTCGACACCACTACTCCCTCCATTACCATCCTTTTAAAGAGATAACTTGGGACTCTTTCGAAGGGAAAATCGACGGTATTTAAGTTCAACACATTTTTCGGGGGCACCAGTGGGGACACCAGTGGAGGCGCACCGTCCACCCACCTTTTTCCCTACGCCAACCATGGATAAGTCTTGAACGGAGATATTGGTATTAAAGAATTTTTAATTTTGATCCCCACAAAGTCTGAGATAAAGTCAGACTGAGGAATAAACTTGATTTTCTTGCCCTACAAAAAAATGAGATATTACAAAATACGAAATGACAAAATACACTTGAGTCAGCACATTCTATCACTTCTTTTTCCGCATGCTAATTTTGACAACGAAATTTGAGCTTGTTGAGCTCAAATGCAAATAAAGCTCAAGAACCAGGGACGTTAATAAAGAAGACTACAGTCTACAGGTATCTGAATAAGGGCAACCATTCTATCCTTGTATACAATTCATGCCCCGATGAAATAAAGCTCTGCTTATGAAAACTGGAGTATAAAAATGTATACATAAATTTAATATATATGGAATTAGAAAGCCTGTAGCGACCCCCCCCCCCCCCCCTCCCTCCTACACAAAATGAAACAAGGTACATACAATCCGGGGCCATATCCAGTTGTAAATATAAATTCACATCACCTCCAAGTGTATATACATTATGGTGCACTGTTTTCTGTTTTGAAAAGGAAACTGAGTGCAAGAGAAATATGACTATCTCCTTATATCCACTTTCATAATAAAGTGATAACATCGTCCCTTCCTGTCTTTATGCATTTTAATGAATAAGATAGAAGTATACACTTGTCAACGCAGTATACATTTGCCGACCAGATAATACTTGTTGTGTGCGTCTAAAAAAATGTCTTGTATTTAGAGTATCGAAGTGTGACGTCATATTAGCCAAGTTGTCAAGGATGCTGGTTCCAAACAATTGTGTGCAAAACAATGGCTGGGTATCACATCAGCGCCAAAAAATTGACCTGATCCATCCTACCGCTTGAATGATGTCGCGGTGAACCTCATGCGCTGGGTCTTTTGTTTAGAACTAGTATTAAACCAAGACGACGAGCAAATGTGAAATTAGCACTTCGGTACTCGATGGAAACTGTTAAAAGTTACATGCTGAGTGGCTGATAATATGCAGCCAATACAATCATGTGTATGATTATTCTTAACCATCAAAATAATAACAAATTGGCTCAATCGTGCTGAAAATTACTAACAACATAAAAACAAACACGTATAAATTAACATGGGACTGCACAAACATATTGAACGTTTATAATCAGAAAAGAATGGATTCCCAAACACGATGATGAATTAATTAAGAGCATTCACGAGCATTCCTTTGCATGTGACAAACTGACAGTGACAGTAATACTATTCTGCTAAACGGGAATGAAATAATCAGAACGCTTATGAAATTAATAGTAGATTTCAATCTTCCCTTTAATATGAACTTTTCCTTATTTCGTTGTCCTACAACAATCAGACCATTTCGGAATACATTACAGTGTACGATATGTGTAAGGTTGGAGATAACGTTGTTTATCTCAGGATTAAAGAATCGGCTATTATGGGATATCCTTATCATTCTTTGAGATTGAGGACCAATGTTATTTGCACTGCTCTCAATGACTAACAAAGTGATAAATGAGGGAGAATTCTTACCCTTTGAATGCAAAATCTGACACTACAGCCCCCGGCTTCTCCCCCTCGACCTCCAGAAAAAGAAAGCCAGAAAACAGTAAATGTATCCACACAAAAAAAACAGGTGGAGTATGATTGAAATTTATTTCTGTCAATGAAATCAGGGGATATTTAGTACCTTGTTTACATTTCATCCTTGATGTTTTTTTTTAAATAGATATCACCGTTACATTTCTCGTTGAGTTGTGGAAGTGTAGATACCGGGGCGGCGTATTCCCCCCCCCCCCCCCCCCCCCCCCCACCCTTCCAAATCAAATGGCAAAATGGTAAGGGGAAAGGAAAAGCGCAAAGGAAAGGGAGGAGGTGAATATAAATTCAATACATTAACTTAAAAAAAAATTCTTAGACAGAACATCATGGCATCATACTGTTCATAGTATCATTTCCTCTGAGAAATATGACCATCACTGATCATAAAGCAACACGAAGCCTAGAAATCGAAAGTTTTTGACAAAATGAATGCACCCTTTAGAAAAATCGTCTCGTCGGACCAATTAGCAGTTCTATTTTGGGTCTTCTTCTTCTTCTTTTCATACAATCAACGACGTCTTTTTCCCTTGTCGGAATGAGATGGATTCATTTACAACATGACTATTCTCCGATTATAAGTATTTCCTGGTAGATACATTTATGATTCAGGGTTTTTAGGATCAAAACAGAAACTATTACCACTTTCATCCGATAGGACCGTCACTTTAGTGGAAGCATGTCTGATCCGGATTAGGAGACAAAATACAAATGTTGACGGTTTTGTATAGTGGGCATGGACCATTTTATCCGTGACCTTGCTTTGACATAGTGACTTTGTGTTACTCGCCATCCATGTCTAGGTATAAGACTAGCTCACTTTCTCCGCCCCAGCTGATCTGTGCGTTGATCAGCTGTGCGCTCATCGCGTGTTACCAGGGTCGTCTACTGGTCACTCGTGGGCTCGTGTATGCTAGTCTTTGAAAATAAACACCTATCTCATAACAGACAAAGGGAAATCCCCATTTAAAAAATAATAATGATATTAATGCGGTGATACATTTCAACAGTATGTCATACCCATCGTATTTTCTAAAGGTGGGGTCGCTGTGAGCATTTGTGTCACATTTCATTCTAATTTCTGTATTCTTCTGATCGACCGTGACAAAAAATTGTTTACAAACCAGAAATATTAACACCAACCCATGAACAAATAAAAGAGGCCCCTTTTCCTCGCATAGCTCACAAATAAACCCCAAACTGGAAAACAATAGAAAAATTAATACAGGTACATCATTTTCACTTCATGTGTGTCTTTTCTTGTATGAGATTTAATAGTACAAGTGGGGACTTACACACGCCAAGGAATTATACGCATGCAGACAATTGATTTAAAAACGTTCGTTTTCTAGACTAGATGCATCGTACGATGCATGCCAGCCACGAACGTTTATGTTGCATAAAGCAGCTCTTTATTGTTCTTCTGAAGTCATCTATAGACATAATTGAATCGTCCGCCTAGACAGAGTAGAAAGATATACTAGTATGAGTAGTTACCCCTCTTTTTATTGCAACCTCGTGCAATGTAACATTTTTTTGAAAAAATGAAAGAGAGGGTGGAAAATACCTTCTCAGCACATTTTTTAATATGATTATGCAAACAATTTTTTTGTCAATAGGCTCAATCTCCAGACTCGATGTATATTAGAAGGCATGCGAAAAAAAGAACTTATCTCCAAAATGCATTTATGATAAAATTTACATACATGTACGCAACACTCAAATCTATGTATATGTTTTGATACATATATACAACAAATGTAGACATCACAGGCAAGGTTTGCATGTACTGTAAGTCTGTATGTCAGAGCATAGCCACTTAACTTAGGCCTACATTATATTGTAAATAGGGTATAGAGCCTTAGCTTAGAGGTCTACATGAGTTTTAACCCACTTCCTCAGCACATAATACCAGCCCAGCAGATATTATTCCACTAAAAGTTCACAAAGTGAGCAACTGAATATACGAACCGCAGCGATGGAGATTCGAATCTCCATGGTTTACGCAATATATATTCAGGTGCTTCAGCCGCGGCACGCCCTTTTAGGCTTTTATTCTCTCCAAAGCTATAATATCATGTATTTTTTGGAAGCAAATAATGAACTGAGAAAAAACATAATGTTTGCAAATTAACTTCAACAAGAAATTTACATATATCATACAGATCTACATTATATACACCCACTCAAATTGGTGCAAACAGTGAACACGTGTACATATAAATGAACTTTGCTTGAAAGTATTCTTTTATTACATTGGCAATGTTTGCTTTCACTAGTCCTGCACTGCCGCCCACCTACATCATACATGTACAAATGCATTAATATATATAAGTGTATTGAATATTTACTCACCACGGGACGCCATTTTTAAGTTTAGAGATATGATCCCAAACAGAATTTAGACAATTTAATACACAGGTCCAGTATTGAAATTCCAGGCCAGCAGCTCCCCGAACATGAACAGGATTTCAATACAGCCAGTCCGCTCTATGTCCCGAGCAGACTTCCAATGATGTATGCGTGTTCCAGATCCACGTACCGGCGTTTTTTTTACTCATAAAATTCCGGTAATGATAGTCTCGGTTTACAGACTCTGAAATACCTTGTTTATTCTGCTCCTCAACAGCAGTACCACAAATATGAAAATATATTCGGTTTGACAAAATTAAAATTATTTTGAGCGGGCATAATCCACGAAGAACACATACCTTCCCAGTTTTACCCGATATGAAGATAATTCAATAAAGGTTATCAATATCCGTATCCCGACACCTAACCCCTGGACATCCAGCCCCCGGATAACCACCCCAGTCAACTACCCCCGAGGGCAACCACCCTCTAGGACTACTACCCCCCCCCCCCCAGGACAACTACCCTCTAGGACTACTACCCCCAGACATCCACCCCGGATAACCTCCCCCAGTCAACTAACCCCTAGGGCAACCACCCTCTAGGACTAATACTCCCCAGGACAATTACCCCTCGGACAACTACCCTAAACAACTACCCCGGAAAACTACCCCATAGGATAGTTGTCCGGGGGTAGTTGTCCTAGACGATGGTTGTCGTAGTGGGTAGTTGTCCGGGGTTTAGTTGTCCGGGGGGAGTTGTCCTAGGGGTAGTTGGCCTAGGGGTGGTTGTCCGGGGTAGTTGTCCGGGGGTAGTTGACTGGAGGTGGTGATCCTGGGGTGGATATCCAGGGGGTAGGTGTCCTAGAAAAATTATATCAAGGTTTTAGCAAGTGTGACCTACATGCCCCATCTGCAAAACAGTGATTTGATTAACAAAAAAACACAAAGGGCATTTCACAGAATCATTGGACAATACAGGATCAGGGTCCAGTTGTATTGACTATTGAGACATAAAACATACTTGAAATCCGCTTCTCATGACTTTGAGTGCAAACATAGCAAATTCAGTAAGTCAATATCATTATGAATATGAGTCTACATGTACATCTTTTTCCGCACTTCTACACTCATGTACGCAGCACTGAGAACCCCCCCTGTGGGTTCAGATTTTGTGCGCCGCTGAAGCCTCGAAATCCCTACCCATTTTAAGGGTCCTTTTGGGTGATTTTTCTCGAAGTAAAGCCCAATTGTTCGCAATTTGAAATTTGATATTTGAAAAGACGGACCCATGTTTAGGGTCATTTTTGTTAAAAATGGGACCCATGCTTAGAGATTTTTGGTGAAAAAGTGACCAATTCGAGCGGCACACCCCGTATGTCTCAATATGTGAGTACCCCCCCCCCCCCCCCACCTCCCACCCCCTGCTGTGAACTGGCCTTAACTAGGCCTAAATGAAGGCATAAACACATATGAAAACTGATGAAACTTGTTTCAGTGCTTCAAGCCATACAGGAAAGAATATAATACTGCTGCATTCTCACGCCCTTTGTTTGAATACGAAGTCGTATTGTCTGTGCATGGTGGAGAGTATAAGGTGACACATCAATGCAATCGATCATGCTTGAAATCAAACTACTACAGTTTCCTAGAGTCTGAGCTGACTTGTTGTTTGTACATGTGTACAAGATACAGAGTTTGTTCTGTTTCTTCCCATAACATGAATACTGCTTTGAACAAAAGTAGGCTGTCCTCTCTATTGTAAAACAGCCTCTGAGGAACTAATACTCCAACTCCTGTTTTTATCAATTTCATTGTATTGAATTTAATAATGTTCATAATTATGTTGAAAATGTATGTATTATTATCAATCCAACCCTTGGTTGCTATGAATGAATAAAATAAATAATAAATAATTAGTTAGTTCCTCTTTTCTCGTGCTATTACTTTACATTTGTCGTTTCCTTGTATACTGTTTTAAATAGAATTAAAATCATTGGAATTTGAATTTTGTCTACGGAAGAGATCAACGATCATTATTTTCACTGCATGTGTCTGTCTATTTTCCAACCGATTCGAAATGATTGACTTTAAAAAAAAACAGTGGAGGAGTTTCATGTAGATTTGGATGGATGGAGATTCCAAACAAAGTTACCCCTACAATGTTCCTCGCCCCACCCCCCCCCCCCCCAATCTCTCTCTCTCTCTCTCTCTCTCTCTCTCTCTGTCTCTCTGTCTCTCTAGATCTATTATGGAATTGGGTATTTGTTTCTACTTTTAAAATGTACGCCTATACATCAATGTATAGCCTCAAATCTCTGTTTTGTTTATAGTTTGTTTTGTTTGGTTTTATTTTGTTTTTGTTTAGTTTATTGTTTCTTATTGGTTTTTGTCAGTTGTTTTAAATCATTTAATTTCAATTTATAGAAACAAAATTCAATGTTTTTTCAGCTGAGGAATGATGTTTGTTGGATACAAACCAGTATCAAATCTCGATGTATAGTCCAGGAGGAAGCCTGATATTGACCTCATTTGCTTTGCCCAAGAGCATTTACACAGCTGGTGCAATCAAATAATATTGCGGAACATGAAATTTAAGGATGAAACAATCCTCGTATCTCAGCATGCATTTCCTGTAAGCAATTATAAATCAGTAAGAACAATGCCGCAAGGGCGTGCAATTATAATTCGTGTATGAATAATTATAGCCAATTTTTTGTTGTAATATGGCTGCAGCAACTATTATGTGTAATCAATGAAGGATACAATGACAGCACTGTGAAAGGTCCGAGAATATGTTTTTCTAAAATGAGTTTTATAACCATGTGAATTATGGTAATACTAGTACATTAAAATATATACACTCAGCCAGAAAAAAGGACACTTTAACAGCTAAGACTTTCAAATAGATAATTAATCTAAGCTTATCTTTCATAATTATATCAGAATAATTAAATCAATTCTCTATTTAATGCCCTTTTGCACTAGTTTGGCATGGAGCGATTAGACCTCCCTGCAAGGTCACTGACAGGTGGTTATCTCATCAAAATATCAGCTCTCAATAAACATTTAAAAAAGGGCATCATGGGGGATCAACGGGTACCGCTTAGGCATTGTTGGTTATATAGAGGGCGCAAGTAGCTATACAGTGGGGCTTTAACAATTATTGAGGAATGAAAATATGGGACGTCGGACTATTCAAAATGTCGATAAGCGTTTCCATCTTTTAAAGTAAAATCAAAACTTAAGACTCTTTCCCGAATATCAACTCCCAGTTTCAAAGTGTTTCCAGGGAGCAAAGTGAGCGAGCCAAAGAAATGTTATTTCGTCAACAAAATATAAAGATAGGTCTGTATTCTGGGATCTTGTTGCCCGAATATCGAGGGATTTTTCCGTTCTACTTTCATACATACAGGCTGCAGTCACCTCCGCCACTCATCATAATAGTCATATCATATCATGATAGTGTGTAGCAAACAAGGTATTAGGCCTAATGTGCTGCTAGGAAAATTCGCTTCTTAAGACGAAGTACCACATTAAAGGTACATTAAAGGTAAAAAGATCCAGTGGTAATTGAAAGATAATACTAATTTAAAATCTTCTTTGAAACTAAAGGGCTTGAAAATGTCTTTTTGAGGAAAATAACGACCGTAAGTTGTCGGAACGACTTTAGGGATTGCAATCCTTTTAGCAAATATTCTGATTTTCAGACCCTTGTACCGTATGTGTTGTATGTTTTTTTGCTGCGCAAAGATTCAATTAGTTTAATTTGGGCCATTACAAGAAGTGGACAAATGTTCATGTACCCTCTACAGCTCATTTTATGTACAACTGTATGTTACTACCGCAAAAAAAAATTAAAGTCAGTCAGTCTAGAAAGTAAACAGGTTTCCTTGCATAATTTGAAAGACACTGCTAACGTTTAAATTTCACAGATAGGACATACATGACATATTCATGATTCCTGCAAAGTTCTACGGAATTTGTTGTTGGCTGCACTGAAGGAATACCGTCTACCTTTAGATAAAAGCACAAAATCAATCCATAATAGATTCAATCTCTTCGGTGGGTAAAATTCTGCCGCATGGCATGAAATGCGTCATTCGTAATCTACCACCTTAATAACGAACTATCGTTAACGGCGTAGAAATTAGATTATGTTCTCGACGAGAATGAGGTTCCTTTGAATAGGTGTACAGTTCCAAATACACATGATGCTATACGAAGTTGTTACGATATGAAATAACTATAATGAATTGAATTGGAAGAAAGTATCGCTTACCAGTAATGAATGATGAATGCTGAAGCCTATTAATACACGTTGGCCATGTTTGGACGCATGCTGACTCACGGGTTACAAATTATGAATACAATGATGTGCATGGGTGATTTATACCAGTACAATAAATTTTTAGGTCAATAACAAATAACGAGTTCGAGGGATGTGCTAAAAACCTGCGAACAAAAGCGAATATAAAGTCGTCGCAATTATATACACATTAATTTTTATAAGGGTGCGCGCAAATTATACCGTCATGGTTATACCATAGACGTAATTTCTATTACGTCTATGGTTATACGACTGGTAACATCTAGTTTGCATTTACAAACTGTTTGTTTTTATCATACACTGATATTGCCATGAAATACCGCACTAGCATATCCGTGTACTATATGGTTACGAAGAAGGCTTTATTAACAGAGTCTGACAAATTAGACTACGTCACTGCAATATATTTTGTGGACTCGATGAATCGCACATGATCGCAAACCCCCTCTTCTCTTTCTCTCTCTTCCTCTGCACACACATGCAGACGCACACATACTCTCTCTCTCCCTCTCTCTCTCTCACTTCCTCTCTCTATCTCCTATCTCTGTCTATAGTAACTATCTCTCGCCCATTTTGAAGCGGAGGGAGGACCCGGTGCGAGCTGTGAGGGGAGGGGCCAGGAGGAACAGATTAGAAACCATTTCGGACCTGAACGTACCAGTCGATTGAGGGAACTAAAGTCATTGTAGACAGAAATCCCGTCTAATATGCCTATTAAAAAAGATTAAATAGAAGGAGACTACTTTTACCAGGCTCGTCTTTTATTGGAAGAATGGGGATTATAGCAATCTGTTGTGGAATTTCTATCATTGTGAGGTAGCTCCACCGATTTCCTTCAAACGTCTAAATCGGATTTACTTTCTATGTAAATAACGAGTGGTCTTCAGAAGAAAGGAAGAAAAGAAAAGAAAGGACAACGATAA